TCCCATGCTCATAGATCGGAAGACTCAATATAGTAAAGATGTCAGTTCTGCCCAAGGCACTATATAAGTTTAATGCCATCCTGATAAAAATACCATCATCTTTCTTCAAATAATTGGAAAAACTGACTCCCAACTTCATATGGAGAGGGAAGAAGCCCACAATTAGCAGAGAACTCCTCAAGAAGAAGGACAGAGTGGGAGGGCTTGCTTTACCTGACTTTAGCACATATTATACAGCCGCGGTGGTCAAAACCGCATGGTATCGGTACAATGACAGATACCGAGACCAATGGAAAAGAACTGACAACCCAGAAATAAAAGCATCAGCATAGGACAACTGACCTTTGATAAGGGGCCAAAAAATATCAAATGGGAAGTGGATGCCCTCTTCAACTAGTGGTGCTGGAAAAAAATGGCTATCTACCTGTAGAAAAATGAAGCAAGACCCTTACCTCACTCCATACACAAGAATAAACTCAAGGTGGGTTACAGACTTTGAGGTAAAACCCCAACCTATTAAGGCCATCAATGAGGAAATTGGGACAAACCTGAGAGCTTTGGTGCAGGGAATACATAAGCTATCAGAAATAGCGAAGGATATAAATACAGATGAGGCACAAATTGACAAGTGGAATACACTGAAGATAAAACACCTGTGTACATTGAAAGACTTCACCAAGGGAGTATTAAGAGAGCCCATGGACCAGGAAAACATCTTTAGCAACGACACATCAGACAAAGGCCTTATTACTAAAATCTACAATACTCTGCTAGCTTCCAAAAAGGAAAAACTAAGTGCCCACTGAGGAAGTGGGCAAAGGATCTGAACAGAAGTTTCACAAGGGCAGAAATCCGAATGGTCAATAAACATATGAGAAAATGTTCCCAATCATTAGCCATAAGAGAAATGCAAATTAAAACAACTATGAGATACCACCTAACATTCTCAAAGACAGCCCAATTCAATAAAGCTGTTAAGAAAGAAATGACTTAACAAAAGAAATGAAAGATCAAGTGGCAAGACGAATAAGAAATGAAAATATGTGTCTGGATCTCAAATCTATGTATCTAAGTGGAAGATGCCAGACTGAAAAGGTGGCATCTTATGTGATTCCACTTATATGCACATCAGGAGAAGAGGAGACCACGGACACAATAAATAGCTCCGTGGGTGCCAGCAGTCTGGGTGGGGTGATGGGTTTGCATGGGTGGTGCACAGAGAACCGTTATGGGGAGTGAAATGACTCTATGATACTATAATGGTAGATCCTCAGTACTATGGAACTCACAGAACTACACAGGGCAAAGAATGAGCCTTCAGGTATGCCATTAAAAATAATAATTTAAGAGACCAAGGATCCGAGATGGAATGCAGACTGGGACCAAAACAGAAATGTCTAATTGTGTTACAAGTGTACTCAGCGTGGGCGTGGGGGAGAAGAGGCAGAACTAAGCACACTGGGAAATGAGCTGGACAAAGCACTAGACTCTAGTGGCTACAGTTGCTGCCCATGGGCAGACAAGGCAACACTGCTGACCGTGTTCATGCGCGCTCAAAGTGAGCAGTGACAGAAATAGATGACCGATGATGGGAGCCAAGTGTAAGTGCCCCAGGTCTGAAGATGGAACAATCCTGTCATACTAGCTAGCATGACTCACGTGGAGAGATCAGTGCAAACTCATGTCTATCTTGCTATAAACACAGATAGACCCTCAGACTCATACGTATACACACGGCTGGAGCCAACACAAATACAGTAGTTCCCTTCTCTGTTGAGAGGACCTAGAGAGAGTTTCATCGAACACTCACACATAGATCTCTGTTTTGTTGGTTTCTTTAAAATTAATGAATTTTTTAAAA